CACACACACACACACACACACACACACACACACACACACACACACACACACACACACAAGGAAAAAAAGCATTAAGCTATTTGTATTCTAAAATGAAATTGACTTTGAAGGACGGAGGTGGCGATGATCAGATGCAGAAGCCTCGACAAACTCCCCTCACCCACCACGGAGACTTTCACATGAATAACACTGGAGCTGGAGATGGGAGAGGAAAGCCCCCCTCCCTCCCTCTCTGAGTCTTTGTACCTCTGTCACGCAAAGGCATGCCTGTAGAAAAACTTCTCTGGCAGCGTATGAGGTCGCTTCACACATAACTTTTTATTTATCCTCTGATTCAGACACAAACAAAAGGCAGAACAGTGCTGTCTCTGTATTATGCACAACTTCCTTACTGCAAAAAAAACAGAAGAAGAAGAAAAACCACAACAAATTAATTTCCTCCAGCTAGCAGATACCACCCCATTCATTCGTCTGGTTCCATAAGGACTTTAATGATTATAGGCAAGGCCTTCCAGACATTAATCCTAGCTGAGGACAGATAATTGTCTTCAATAGGGGACCAAACAAGTTAAAATGAATCCAATGCCAAAAAGCTTAAAATTAGCAATTAAATATATACCCGATGTATAAGGCATAACAGCTTTAAGAAAAATGAGGTGTGCTATCTTTTAGCTTGTTATTTGCATTATTTTTATAGTTGGACTTTTAGAAAACAGAGCAAAAAAAAATGCAAATGTAAAACAATGAGAAGAGGAACGCTTTTAACAAAGATTCCTGCAAGGACTGAATCGGAGATGTTCCGATGCCAGAATGTTGTAATCAATTTAACAGCAACCCTTGTTGGCAGCCCCAAATGAGAGTATCTTCAAAGTATCTACTTATCAAAGGTGTAAATTGATACTATGATAATAATTAAGAAAGCTTAGAATGTAATATGACCTTCAGCCACGGGTGGCAGCACTGAGCAGAGTAATCCTGAGCAGCAGTCCAGTGGTTGAACGAGGAAAAAAATCTTTGAAGATCTGACACCAGGGGTGTCTAACTCCAGTCCTTGAGAGCTACTGTCCTGCAGCTTTTAGATGCATCCCTACTCCAACACAGCTGAACCAAATGGTTGGATTACCTCTTCAGCATGCCATCAAGTTTGGCCATTCATTTGATTCAGGTAGGTTGGAACAAGGATTTGTCTAAAATCTGCAGGACGGTAGCTCTCGAGGAGGGGAGTTGGACACCCCTGATATACACACAGTTGTCACATCTAGGTTTGTGAGATCAAAACATCAAAAAGGAGCACACAGTGTGGTATTTTATCTAAAAATGGGCTGAGTCTCTCTCTGCAGCCCATTCATAGATTTAAAAAAAGAACTTTGTGTTTATTTTTGATGTTCTAATGAAGGAAATGCCAAACTATGTGACAAAGCAACACAGTTTTTTTTACTGCTACAATGTTACAGTTACAAAAGCATGCAGAGCTGTAACGTTTTAATTCAGATGGACTTGTTTTGTGCTGCAGAGAACAGACTCAGCCAAATGCCTCTGAAGTCATCTGCAAATCGACATCCAAAATCCCCTCACCCCACTGACGTCAGCGGTGCAAGATTCTTTACACATGCTGTCATTTAAAACAAAGCCATCCTGGATGAGTGAGCTTTTACAAGCTTGCTGTACTTACGTCTCCGTTTTGTAGGTGGAGCATCTCTCCAGCGGGATCTTCAGGACTCTGTTGTTGAGCCCAACAAAGAGTGACCTGTCACTATGCAGGATCTGCAGGCTCAGGATCGGTTCTCGAACACCTGATGGGAAGAGCTCCATCTCCTCCAAGTAACAGCCTTGCAGGTTCTTGTTGGGTGTAGCCAGTGCCTTCAGGATGGTGCCGTACTCTAAAAGAGACAGACAAAATAAAGCAAGGAACCTACCTCCTCAATCTTAAAGTTTTGGTTTTCCTCTTTCACTACTAACCTGTGCTGATGTACATAACATGGAAGAGAGTGTCCATGCCCTGAACAATGTCCACGACTAGGTTTGAGAAGCGAACATCATCCTGCATGACCAGCGGATCAATAGACTCCGGCTGGACAACATCGTTCATGAGGTAAAGCCGCTGGGCGTCCTGCAGACTGCGCTCTGTCAAGCCCTGATTCAGACCCTTGTCATCTATAGTACCGCACTGCAAAAGAAAGGCAATGTTGGAATTTGGACAAAGGGATATAAAGTAAGAAGAAGATGTGAAAATGTAAAATGCATATAAGAAAATCTAAAAGGCAGTGAGAGAGGCATGGACAAAAGCACGAAAAAAACAAACAAAGAGCATGCCACACACTCTTCTTTACACCTACCAAATCAATACGCCTCGTCTGGCGAGATTGTTTCAATTCCTAAATCTATGAAGTCTGAGTAATTGCAACTTTTGAATGGAATGTTATGTGAACACACTAACAGCGCAGCAGCTTAATGAGGCACTTGAGAAGAAAAAGTATGAAATGACAGTGTTCTGAAAAGCTTTGTTTGTGCAGCAGAGATTAGCTGTGGACTGCAACTTCTGCTCATTCTCTGGGATTTGAAATGAGAGGCTGATTTGTTTGATGATTCTATTTTTTTTTAGTGAACGACAATGACGGACTGACGGGTGATTATCAATATGTGGTTTTGTGGTAATCACAGTATCTAATTGGTTGAAATCTACTTCTTGCCTTCAGCTGCGAACTTGGAGAATTGGAGACTGCAGCCATGCTGTGCAGCACCAGCAGCAAGCTCTACACACCAAATGGTGTGAAATCCTAGATTACGGATCCATTTTTCCGACTAAAAATGTCACAGTGTTACAGCCTGAAGCCAATAACTGAAGGAAAGGATGTGTATTTCTTACAACTGAAGATGACTTTCATTTTGATTTAAGATGAATTGAGTCATCTTTATGCAGCAGAGTGCAGCAACTGAGAAAATTGGCAAATGTTCTTTTAGGGTTTTCGAAGCTTTTGTGGAGATGTTGCATGAATGAAAGAAAAAGCAAGATACTGAACTTTTTTGTTTTCACAGTATTTCGCAATCACAAGATTACAAATTGGAAAAGATGGAAGGACAGCAGGGTAACTCTTTATCTTAATCAGTGTGCTAAGAATAGGAACTGGAAGTGCCAAAAACTGCACTTTGTCAAATGGCCACTTGAGGCTTGCCCCAGCTTTAGAAATCCTTCTCTCATACAAGGTCTTTAATAATCAGGCATAATCTTATCTTAAAGACCTCATAGTACCATATCACCCCAACAGAGCACTTCACTCTCAGATTGCAGGTTTACTTGTGGTTCCTTATGTATTTAAAAGTAAAATGGAAGACAGCGGCTTCCGCTTTCAGACCTCCCTCTTGTAAAATTAACTGCCAATTTGGATTCAGGAGACAAACACTCTCTCTACTATCAAGATTAGGTTTAAAACTTTGCTTTTGATAAAGCATATAGTTAGGGCCGGATCAGGTGACCCTGAACCCTCCCTTAGATGTGCTGCTGAGAGATTCCCATGATGCGCGTTTCTGAGTGTTTCTTCTACACTCACCTCATTTTATTTTCATTAGTTATTATTTATCTCAGGCTCTTGTCCACAGCGTGTCTTTGTCCTGTCTCCCCCACTCCATCCCTAACCAGTCGCGGCAGATGGCCGCCCCTCCCTGAGCCTGGTTCTGTCAGAGGTTTCTTCCTGTTAAAAGGGAGTTTTTTCTTCCCACTGTTGCCAGGTGCTTGTTCATAGGGAGGCATCTGATTGTTGGGGGTGTCTCTATATTATTGTATGGTTTTACCTTACAGTATAAGCAGTTGTTGTGATTTGGCGCTATATAAATAAAACTGAATTGAATTAAATCAATGATAACCATGCTGGTTGAATGGTAGCTGTCTGGTGTCTGATTGAAATGGCTTAACTTCTGCAAACTGGTATCCGTGAGCTGGAGCTCTAATTACAGTTTCCTCTTTCACAGATTAAAAAGGTAACTGACTGATTTAACTTTTAAACAGTGGTCTCAGTGAGGAGGTGTGTGGTTAAACTAACCTGGAAATTGTGGATGGGGTTGGGCGTGGGAAGCCAAGTGGAACGAGGATTCTCCTGGGTGCGGAAAGGCCCGTTGAAGGCCTGGGTGATGGCGCTCAAGTTGAAGGCACACACTGCAGATGCTGCAATACTGTTGCTTTATAGAGAGAGAAACAGGGAGGAGAAGACAGGAGGAAGAGGGTGGGGGAGGGAAAAGGAGGTAAAAATACAAATATTATTTCAACAATAATATTCATAACTGCTTAAAATGTGGGCAGCAAATGGAGGCATACCAGAAATCGACAATGTCCAGCTGTGCAATAAAGCTATTCTGCTAAGAGTTCCATCCTCTTAATGGAAGTCCTATCATTTATACCCACAATAAACAGGCGCTCCATGTCTAGCTTGCTTTGGCTGCAGGCTAAGCTATGCTATCAGTGCTGAGCAGTGAATGGGGACAGTATTAAGCTGAGGATATGGGAGGCAGCTCCACAGATTATGTGCACACACACACACACACACACACACACACACACACACACACACACACACACACACACACACACACA